GCCCATCACATGTAAATTACTGTTATTATTCTTATTATCTCTCCCTCAGCTGGTCAGAATTCATCATCTGTGCCTACATTCCTTGACAAAATATACACAAAATCTGAAATCATTATCCGCCTCCCTCCTGCAATTAAAGCACCAATCTTATTCCAACTGGTGTCAGGTTGTATCCATGTTTGTGGTTCCCACCATCCTCAAGGCAAGGACACATCTATTCCTTTTCATGTGCCTTGGAGTTCTTTAGAGAAGTACCTGAACTTATGTTATTTGGTTCACACCAAAATGAATGACTAAACTTTGTTGTTTTTTTTTTCTACCTATTAAGAGCAGGGACTCAGGATGGTGAGATAGCTCAGTGAAGCTTTGGGTTCAATTCCTGACTCCCACCACACACACAGATACACACAGACAAACACACAGACACACACACACACACACACACACACACACACACACCAAGTAAATAAAAATGTAATTATTAAGTTCAAGAACAGGGACTATTGGCTGAGGAGGAGCCATGAAACACCCCTTTGCTCCACTCTTACACTGGTGCTTCTTGCCCACTGCATCCCAACTGCTCTGCTTCACCTTGTCCCCTTTGTCTTCCTGGACACTGTCATCTCCTGGTTTGAAACCCTAACCCACTAGCTTGCAGATGTTCTTCATGAAGGTCTTTGTCTCCTTCATCTCTATGTTTCGAGTATCTATCCCTGTCTTAGCACAAAGTACAATCTCAACAAACATTTGTTGATGAAGAAAAAATAAATGAATGAATGAACCCATAAATCAGTGTGGGTCTTATAAGCAGTAATTCCCCTATGCTTTAGAATGCTCAGCACTGAATCTCTGCAGCGGAGTCGAGACTGCCAAGTACTGAACACTGACTCTGCTGGACATACAGCCTTCTTGTTTAATCTTGACACTGTAACAAATACAGAAGTAAATGACCTTGGAGTGGGGGCAGTGTGTGGATATGTCTTGTCAGAAAGGGCTGTTTTCCTGGCTAAGATCATAGACAAGGAACAGAGGGTCCTTCATGAAGGATGGTGAAGGCACACCCCATTGGTGACAAAAAGTCAGAGTGCTAAAGGGAAGAGCTCTAGAGAGACATGCAAGATCAGTGTGGTCCTGCTTCTTCACTAGCAAAATGAGGACAACCTCCTGTCTCTTGTCAGTTCTTATGGAGATCCAGGATTCCACTCTATAGAGAGTCCTTCCCATCAGACACAGCTGCCCCTTCCAGAGAATGAATGGAAGAATGAGGGAGAGTGAATATACAATGATGAAGTGAATCACCCAGCCACGCCTCCGACGCCACTGCTGCCATCCTGCTATCCCTGGGCCCTTCAGTGTGTGCCCCCAACCTCCATGAGCTACCCTATTACAACTCCTGGCTCCCAAGGACTCTTATCTCCATGCCTGGAGTTGTCATGAGCTATGAGCCACAGGCCAGGCTGTTGCTTTCCAGATTGCCCATCTACCCCTACACTACCCAGAGGATTCAGCGGTGATTCTCTCATGCACAGAGAAACCCTCTTACAACAGGTCTCCTGATCTACTGGCCAACCTGGTTCTGATTACCTGTATAAATGATCCAGCACCCAGTGTGGACAAAGACCTTTGAGCTGAGATCCTAGGGGAGGAGGGCTGGTGAGCCCTGGAAGAGCAAGGAAGAAGCCAGGACCCACGAGAACACAAGCCTTGGAGGGCATGTTGAACCAGCAATCATCTCTCTTTTTCTGGATCTTCTCTACCCTGCTTCTCCTTAGTTTTCCCAGAGTCAGGGGAGGGGAAGGATTGCTCAAAATGTGGGTCCCTCCCCCACAACTGGTTATTCTTCATTTTAATTACATGTTTACACATTTACCTCCAACTCCACCTTCTACCCACCTCCCAATGTTTTTACTTTCTTTGTATCTCCCCTAGTAGGTAGACTTGGAAAGTATTCAGTGGTGTTGAATGAAGAAATAAGCAGACATCTATAACTCATTCTATCTCCTAATGTCAAATATAACGAGAAGCAGTGAAGTTGGTAAACCTGCCCGATATCACAGGGCCAATTTCTGATTGGGGGAGCCAGCTGTAAATTCCAAAACAGACCCTATCTTAGCCTCTCTTCCAAATGATGTAGAAAAAGAGTAACTACAGTACCTGAGCATCAACAGCATCCCAGACACTATACTGTGTGTTCCAGAGCTGTAAGAGGGCTGACATCAGGTCAACTTTAAGGAGTGGAATATTGAGGCTCAGTGTTTTGCTGGTTGACTAAAGCTATACCTTATTCTTCATACCCAATTACCCTTGCCTTCATTAAAACTCACTTTTCAAGCTTACTAATGTCTTCCTGCTTCTGCTTTTCTTTATCAATCTTCCGAAAATAGCTGTCTTATATCTGCTGTCCATAGCCCTCTGTGCTTATGAGATCCTCAAGGGAAGAAGGCAAAGTATACATGCATGCATATGTGTGTGTGCACATGTGTGTGTGTGTGTATTTGTGTTGCGTATGTGTGTGTTCTGTGTATATGTTTGTGTGTGCATGTGTATATGCACATAAGTATGCATGTGTACATATGAATTGTGTGTGTATATGTGCATGTGTACATATGAATGTATGTGTGTGCATGTGCAAATACATGTGTGTGTGTTCAAAATGTATGTGACTGTTATTCACCACTAGGCACAATGCCTGACACAGAAGTAGTAGTAAGTATTGGTAAGGGGAGCCAGGAAATGAGGAAAGAAGTTAGAAAGGGAGGAAAAACAAACGAAATGAAAGAACTTTTCAAAGACAGAGTTAGAAAGTAGAGAAGTTGGAATTCGAGTCCAGGCCTGTATATATATCCACAGAATATACAGCCTTACCCAGGCAGAGACCCTCTGATTATTGAGGACTGTGTGGCTTTGTGTTAGCATCAATTATCACACGTTGATGAATGGAGTTTAAATGTCCCTATATGGAGGAAGATGTGTGTGATTTCCAGGAAGTCTGCTGCCCTGAGAGTACAGGGCTCTGTGTGTGGCTATGGCCATATGTGTGGCTGTATCTCATATCACTGTGATAGCAACAGTGACACACCAGAGAAGAGATAGCCACTGGGCATCATGATGACATACATTTAAGTCCTGCAAGATGAGAAAGCCTGGCAAGGTCAGATACCTAGTCTGGTCAGGGTTACGTTTGACTGTCAAGTGTTTTATGATGAAAAGAGGCACCTGTCTACACATAACACAACTTCTTACTGCCCAAGGTCAGGGTGGATTCTGCAGTCTAAACTCAGTTCAGGACCATGTAAAACAGATCATATCCCCCAGGAGATGAAAAATTGGTGTGGAGAAATTGTGCAGTTGGTATGCTTCCCCATCCTTCTAAAGAAGTTCACAGAAGGCCCGGTACAATCAAAGCAAAAGCCCTTCCTCAGAAAATCAGGACTGAAAAATCAGTTCTGTCCCCTGGGTCCACCTGTGCTATAGCACCAACATTGTCTTCATAAATTCTCACATGTATGGATCCTCACTGACATTTCACTGTAATAAATACCTTGTGAATCTGAAAATCACTCCTAACTTTTAGTGCCACAGTGAACCTCTTCAACTATGATTTGGGACCCAAGCCAAGATGAAGGTAGGGCTGGGGAGTGGGAACACTTCTAGGGCATTAGCTACAGTGGTGTGGTGTGAGTTAGAGGTTTGTATCTCTGGTAATCCCTATCCTGCTTGCTCCTCTGTGTCTAGGACAGAAAGAAAGGGCCCTGGCTGATCTACTGAGACACCACCATGAAGTCACACTTGAGAAGCAAAAGGCACCTGCAAATAGAAAGGGGGCACTATGAGAGCATGCCTGTCCACACGAATCTAAGAAAGGACTTGGCACATAAATATGTATCTAGATAATGGAGACCTTCCTTCTGTGGTGATGTATTTGGTTTAAATTTTGGGGGACGGGACCTGTAACCTAGTTTACTCCCTCTTTTGAGCCAAGTGCCCTGATGCAGAGGCCATGGAGGCTGTAAACACGTGGCACGGCAACCTTTTCAGTACTGACTGGCCACACCTTTCCACACTGCTAGAGTCTTACACTCTGCAGGAGGTTTTCTGTCTGTTGTTTCCTCAGTCTCTTGCCTTTTAGAATCCATTTATTTCAGCCCTGACACCATTTCAGATGAGAAAACCTAAAGGCCAGGGTGGTTCTCCTATGAGGAAACCAAAGGAATTTTATTTATCTTTGTACTAATCCCCACATTCCTCCAATGCACAAAAGCTTTCTTGATTGTTTTGTTTCAAAGTGGAATTAAACTCTGGACTCTGCACATGCTACAAGAATACACTACTGCCGAGCTACATACAGCTCCCAGTCCTTAAAAGCATTTTAATGCTTCTCATTCTTACCAAAACAAGCCCTGACTACCCAAGATGGTAGTTTTCAGCATCCTTATCATCTGCCCTGCGCATCTGCAGGAGCATTCTTAACATGCCCTAGGTATTTCTCATAGTCATGAGTGCTATCCTTGAATTCCTTAGGTGCCTGGATACAGTGCCCCTTTCGTGCCCAGGCCTTTCCATATTCCCCTACAAATAATTGTGCATGCTCTCAACTTTCATGTCATGTTAGCAGGATCCCTCCTTTGTCACTTTCTAGCTCAGAGGACACTATGTGTTTCAGATCCCATCCAGTTTTCTCTACTGTCCTGAGTTCTCTTTGGAGGGCTACTCTAAATCCCTGAGCTACCTCTTCCTGAATGGGCAGTAGCAAGCATTCTAACCACTCATGTTCTTTGAACCATGTTCCCCAGTGTTCTTAACACAGTGTGGCCAATGTTGCATCCATGGCCTCCTACCATATGCAGAGAGGACAATGACTCCTCCTTGGGGTAACTGCTCAGTCAAGTCTCTGTTCTCCCCTAACCTCAAGGGCACTTGGCTTGTTTCTCCCCTTTGTCCTGCTGGAAGGGGAGCTTCAGGAAGGTGCCCCTCCTTAAGTGGCCTGCCTGGGCACTCACCGCTGCCAAGCCGCAGGAGTAGCACATCTTGGAGTCTCCTGTTGAGGTCTCGGAGCTCCTTCATTTCAGACACCAATGCCCCATACTCCTTGAGCTTCTTGGCCTGTTGTACGAGCTGCCTCCGAGTCCGCTCCAGCTCCTGCTGGAGGTGGCGCATCTCCTCTTGTTGCTGCTGGTAGTTTCGCAGCAGCTCCTCATACAGAGCCCGGGGCACAACAGCATCCTCCAGACTGTCCATGTCCTCTGTGCCCGGTGAGGCCTCCACAAAGACCTCTTCTGGACAAGTGCTGTGGCCCAGGCTCAGGCCGTTCTGTCTCTCTAGCCGGGCCACCACTGCCTCGATACTCTTGTGAGCCGCTTCACTAGGCTTCCGCCCCTCCGGTCTCTGTGTAGGACAACGAGAATCAGTTCAGGCAAGGGCAGCTGGGACTTTCTTGGACTGCAGCTCAATATTTCCCCAGACAATCCTAGAATCACAGAACCACAGAACATCAGTGCTTGGAGAAACCTGTTAGAGACACAGTCAAAGCCCTTCACTTTGCAAATGGGGAAACAGAGGACCAGAGTGCTCTGGGCAAAAGCCACAAACAGCTGGTGGCAGAGACAGGACACTGGGTGTTATGCTAACACTTTTTCCATCTGGCACTCAGATGCACATATCAGGATCACTTTTCTATGTGTCCCAGCACTCCATAGCCTCTGTGGCACCTGGACAGTCATTTGCTTATGGGATGACCAGTGTGGATTTTCAAAGAATGGGAAAACAATCTGGCCTGCCCAAGGCATTTCTGAGGAATCACACTCAAGAACATACATATGCATGGAATTTATCTTGTAACCTTTTTAAGGCTGCTTCAGTTTGGAAGGACGTCAAAATCCAAACCCACTCTAATCTAGGGCAGTACATATGTCTTGTTTTCTCTGGTTCTCTTCTGCCTACTCACTCAGGACTGGCAGTTGGCAGAAGCTTGACAAATGTTTACTCAACTGAAAGCTAGCTTCAAAGAATGCTAGCTAGCACTGGGGCGCTTTCAGTTTTCTTCATGTTGCAGGTAAGCAAGCAGAGCCCTAGAAAGAGGAGGAACCACTCTCAGGGTCCCAGGCATGGGGAGTGACATGCCATGGAGGGAGAAGCAGAATCAAAGCCCATGTGTGAGCCAGAGTTCCTGCTCTCACATCTGCCAGCCTCTCCCTCAGCCAGACAGCAGAGAAAGGAAGGTTCATCCAGGAGACTGGGGGCTCAGTTGTTTGAGGCAATTTCAGCTCAAGTGTACAAAGCTCCCACTGAGGATGGCAGAGCTGCAGAAGTGGCTGAGTCTTGACCTAGGGTGTAAGGGTCACGAGCTCTCACAGAGGGACAATAGACGGTACAGACTACCAGAGTACACAAGATTCTGCACAATTTAACCAGCCAGGTTTGACTCAATCTTCCAGTTTCAGAAAATTGAAGGTAATAAAAATGAGGTAAACTCATGACTTAAGATTGAGTAACATTGCAAAGTCCTGGTAATTTTATCTGCTGAGATAAAGAAGAGAGGAATGTATCTCCTAAAACATAATGATCACCTTAAACATTTATTCAAATCACTATGCTGTGAGAACCCTGAGGACAGGGAACACGTGTGGCTGTGCTCCATGACGCCAGGGGCCAGCACTGGGCCAGAGCCACACCAGGGGATGAATGCCATGCAGTGGATTGACCCCATCTTTTGGACTACACCTTGGGGGATGTTCTTGACCTGTGTCCCAAATGAGAGTACAAAGCAGAAGGTACTTTTCTTCTCTTCCCCCTTCCTTTCTCTAGGATACTCACAGGACGGGTTAAGTGGGTAGAGAGCTAGACCGCCAAACAATATTTCCAGTAGTTTTTTGTTTGTTTGTTTGTTTGTTTGTTTGTTTTCAAATAGTGAGAGCCCAGCTGGAACACATAACAAGGAAATGCAACCTCATGAAGAGATTTTCACCCAACCCAGCATCCCAGATGCTCCCAATGAATTTTATCAACATCTTTTCCCAGTGGGTCCACCCTCAGCAATTTGGGACAATATGATAGTGACTAGCTCTAAACTGCTACCCAAGACCAACAGCTGCTTAATGTCCATGTAATTCAGCTGTGACCTCTCCAGAGCTGTGTGCCAGGGAAAAGCACATTGTTCTAAATCTCCAACAGTCCTGACACTGCACACTCTGCCAATGGGACTGTGCCTGGTTGTACAATCTAAATGAGGAGTCTCTAAAAAGTAGGCTCTAGGGAAAACGTTCTTGCTGTTAAGCATCTTCCACTCCCCCAAAACAAACAAAACAAAGCTCATGGCTGATGACACCAGGAGACATTTATATGGGGAAGGAGGCCAGTCTGGAATTCTTTAGCCCTGGGAAATATGGAGTCACTCCAATGAATGTCTAAGAGAAGCAAAGATTTTGTTACCTTGATGTGTCTAAGCTGTAAATCTTCTTCCCCATAGTCTTTAACCTCCCCATCATCTTCTACATGACTGAGAGAAAGTTTGGGGATTTTTATTTTCTTCTGCATCACACTGTTCTCAAGGTCAGATTTGTCTTCTAAAATGTATATCAAGAGAACAAGGTTGATCATGAATCAAAATGCTCAACAAGTCCAAAACTTCAAATTCTAGAAAATAAATGAGGCCAAACCAGTTAAAAGGGAAAAGCAAACAACCCAAGGACTATTCTACTCTACACAGAGAGCTCCTAAAGTCAGCATACAGCATCAGTGATGTACACTAAAGTACCACCACACAAAGTACTAAAACAACACCAGATGAATTGCATAGGGGTTTCTGCATGTCCATCTAAAAGGTTGCCTTTTATGGAATTTTAGAATCCTGGAGTTGGAATAATCCATAGACTGTCATCTGGTGTGGTGGTTTGAATAAGAATGGCTCCCATAGGCTCATGTTTGTATACTTGGTCTCCATGGGTAGAATTGTTTGGGAAGGATTAGGAGAGTGGCTTGCTGGAGGAGATGGTAGGAGAGTGGTAGCTGGGGGTTGGATTTGCACTTTCGAAAATCTATGACATTCCCAGTTAGCTTTTCTGCCTGCAGAGAGGATATAAGCTTTGAGCTTGGTTGCTTTGGTCATGGTATTTTGTCATGGCCATAAAAAAGTAACTAAGATATCTGGTCTGAACTTAATTGGCATGTGAATTTCTCAATACTCTAGCCCAAGTATCTCCTCAAGAAAACTTGATTCATGTGGTTCCATAATCAAAAGGCCCAAGATGAATGTCAACTCTTCTTGAAGTTAAGCCAAAGCTGTAAGGGCAGAGAGCTTTCCAGCCCCACAGAGACAGGCTGAAGAAAGGTAGTTATGTTAGCGCCTCAATACTACAGATGGACCTTGGTAAGCAGTAGTCCAACTGTCACTTCACAAATGAGAGAACCCAAATCCAGGCAATGACAGAGGTTTGTCCAAAGTGTGAGTCTGAGGAAGAGCTGGAATGGGAAATGCCTCTAGTGTCTTGCCTTGTGTTTCTGTGTGCTCATATCATGTACTGAAGAGTGCCACACAAACACGTTATTTCTCCTCATTTTCTCATTGTTTAATCTAACTCACAGAATCTGAAAGAGTTTTGTTTCTGTAAAGTATTCAAAATGGACTTTGCAAATGAGCTGTCTCTCACTGTAGAAGCCAGAAGTTCAAATAGGAAGGTTCTAGGGGTAGAAATTTGATCCTACTCTGAGAATCGACCTTAGTATAATGTAGTTTGTATTCTGTGACAGAATTGAGACTCTGGGAATTCTTATTTCTTATACTTTCCAAAGCTTCCCACTTGGTATCTAAAATGCGTTCTCTAGTTTGCTACCCATGTGGCAGGTGGCCAGGAGTGGGTTATATATAATCTCCATTGGACACACACACACACACACACACACACACACACACACACAAAGAGTGAGAAAGGGGGTAGAGAGAGAGAGAGAGAGAGAGAGAGAGAGAGAGAGAGAGAACATATGTGAATATGTGAAAGTATTAATTGTGCCCTAATGTCTCTCCCAGGCCAGGCTTCTCTCCTTATAACTTGTTAGTAAGACTGAGAAGGATGCTTCTTAACCAGTATCTATTCCAGTATATACTCAATTGCTAGCTTCTCAAATCCAGCCCCAGCTGGTCAAAGATGGGACTCAGATATCACAAAGTTCTGAGTAAGTAAGCCTCCGTTCCTCATGACAGGGGGAAGAGATGTGCAAAGCCTCAGGCTAGCTGAGTTCAGGCCTCTATGACACAGCTGCAGGGAGAGAGCAAGGGTTCAGAGTACTCTTCAAACTGCATCTGGAACACTGGACACTTTGTGAGTGAGATATTATGTTTTCTATTACTGGTGTGCCTGAATCATTTTTCCCATAAGCAGAAGGTGGATAGATAGTAAATTAAAAAAAAAATAAAAAAGAAAGAAATGACAGGCAAACAATGAAGTACAAAGGAAAAGCCCAGGAAGAAGACATGGTCTTAGTTACCAACACCCTGCTGGAAAAGGCCCTCTGGCTAGGTCAAGACTCATCCATGCTTCTGTTTTCACAAGAATGACCTGTTCTTGTCCGTTTTTGTATCTATAAAACCCATCCAGCGGGTTAGGCGTGAACAGCAGAGGGGACCTCGGTGTTTCTAAGAGAACAACATCTTTCTTCCTACAAATCAACACTGACTCTTTCTAAGGCAAAAAGCCTGTTAAAATGTAAAACCTCAAGAGAGTGCTTCAAATGAAATTATCTCCGCATGGGGTGTTTAAGCAATATACACAGTGGGGAGTGGGGAGGAAGAAAGGGAGGGGAGAAGACAAGGAGATGGGTAGTGAAGAGATGGCTGAGGAAACAGACAGACAGACAGACACACACACACACACACACACACACACACACACACACACACACTACACAAAGAGAATGAACAAGACAGAAGGGGCAGTGAGAGCCCAAGATCAGATGGGAGGGTATGAAAGGACTTCTTCCTGATCCAGTCTTCAGTGTGACAGACTTAAGGAAAAGTGTGAGATGCCACAAAATGGGAAGGAACGAGCTGCGCTTTCTCTTCCTGAGCTGGAACAGTAGTTCAGACTGATGTTGGTGCTGAGCTGGTATGGAAGGAAACAGTCACTCAGGCTTACAAATCTGGGTACTGAATGAGAAATGGTCCTCAGATTTCCTCATTCAACCTTTTCAAAAGGTAGTAAGGAAAATTAGGTTACTTCAGGAAAGACTGCATCTTTGAATCAAGCAAGCAGACCCAAGGACAAAGGAGGAACAAAAGAGGCGGGGTCTACATCTTGGAGAGCTCACTCTTATAGAAGGTCACAAAGGTTAGTGTTATGGCACGAAGACATGAGAGAACTCCCACTGTGTAATTCAGCCCCAGACCTTTTCTCCAGTATGGCAGCTAAATATTCTTTTGAGAATTACACTCTACAAAAACTCTGAGTCTGGGTCCTTGACATAGATACATGAACAATCAGATGGGGATACAGGATAAAAGCTTATGAGAAGTTGAGTCAAGATCTCTAGCCCAACTTGAATTTAGGATTTTATAAGCAAGAGAGATCTTTCTGGCCTGTAACAAGTTTGGATAAGTTACTTTTCTTTTCTGAGCCGATTTTCTCATCTGTAAACTGAAGTAAATAATTCCTTTTCACATTGCCATGATGTGAGACTATCAATTCTGTATGTTTAGAACTTGAGGAGAATAAACAGTATGAGCAATTTGATGCATGTACTAGTATGCTCATTGAAGGACATGAGTCCATGGACCTCAGTTCCAGCCATACCACCTTGAATACACCTGATCGTGTCTAATTCAGGGAGATAAGCAAGGTTCAGCCTGGTTAGTACTTGGATGGGAGAACATGGGAGAGTAAACGCTGTAACAGAAAAGATGGGGTAAGATGTTTTTGCACTGATCTAAAAGGTGACAGGCAGGAAAGAGGGGAGGTGAGGAAGAAAAACAAAGCAGTTAAAACTAGAGAATGAGTGGCGTTCAATGCCAAGTTAAGAAGAGATGAGGAGTAGTTTGCAGCTGTGTAAAGAATTAGGAGTCACATGATCTAAACCCAGCTCTACAGTGTGAGAAGTCAGGTGAGTCCTCACTTCATTACTGGTCACTATGTTGTTGTTGTTGTTGGAAAGCACACCCTGAAAACAACAGAACCCTAGATTAGTTAAGGCCTGAGTCTTTCTTGCCTCATGAGCAGGAGACCTACCTAACTGTCTGGCTTGGGATGGGTGACAGACAGGAGTGCTCTTCACTTGATGGTAAGTGTTGACTGGAGGCTCCTCCCCAAGACACACCCAGGCTCCCTGGTCTTCCATGTCTTCCTTCTTCCTTGTGTGTTTCACAAAGTCTGTTCAGCCTGCACTCATCAATTCCTTCTTCCTCTGAGGTTTCATCCCACATGCTGTATTCATTATGCTCTATTATTTTATTGTGCTCCAATTGCTTGCTTAGTGGCTATCCTGCCACCTGAGTAACCCCAGATCATAGAGCTAGCTATACAATAGAGACTCATCAAACAAGAATGCTTAATAATAATAATAATAACAATAACAATAATAATAATAAAGCTACGCCAGTAAGCACACAAATGAATACTCAGCATCCTCAATCATTGGGTAACTGTGAATCAAAATTATGATATTCCATTTATGCTGAGGATGTCCACAAACAGGGAAAAAAAAGGTGTGTGTGTGGTAGGGGGTTCTAATAAGTGTCAGGGATGATTTGGAGAAACTGGTGTAATGTAGAAGGAGACAGCCGCTGCAGAAACAGTGTAGTAGTTGCTCAAATAGTTAAACACAGAATTATCGTATCACCAAAAAACTGCATTTCTAGATGTATACTCAAGAAAATGAAAGTATGTCTACCTAGGAATGTATACATCAATGTTCATTGAAACAATATTCATAATAGCCCAAAAGCTAAAACAATACAAGTATCAATAAACTTGTGGATGGATGACATATAGTATACATACAATAGAGTAGTACTAATCAGCCATAAAAATGGCACACTAGTTGATGGTACAATATGGATGAATCTTAAAAAATATTGCATTAGGCTAAGAAATTCAGACATAAAAGCCATGTACTTTATAATTCTATTATTACTATGAGTCATTCAGAAAAGGAAAATTGAGAAACAATAAATAAATTGGAGGTTGCCAGAGGCAGGGATAACTGACTAATAGGATTGATAACGATTTGGGGGGGGAGGCGCTGGGGGATTAGGAGAATATTCTAGAATTATATAGTAGTGCTGGGGACAGAACATACCAAGAAGCATTGAATTTCATATACATTAAAAATAGTTTAAATAGAACTGGAGAGATGACTCTGGTCAAAAGCAGCTCTTCTAGAGGATCTGGGTTGGGTTTCCAGCAAGCACACGCTTGCTCACAACTATATGCAACTCCAGTTCAATGCTCTCTTCTGGCTTCTTCAGGCTCCTGCATACCCATTGTACACATACATACATGTAGGCAAAAGTCTCATACACATAAAAGAAAAGTAAATAAACCTTCAAAACAATGAAAATGGTACATTTTGTGCTGAT